ATTCAGATATGACGGCTGATAGAGATGTATGGAAGAGCAGCACATACTGTGCCGACCCTCCATAAGGGATAAGGGCAAGTGGATGATGTACGTTACTTCAAATAAAAATATAAGCACTTTTATTCACGCGTTATTAAAAACTGTCGTTTAAAATAGCTAATGTTACTTTTTAATAATGTAGCTTTCTAATAGTGAAAGAATTTTTGAAATCGGTCTAATAATTTTTGATTTACTTGTTACATTTAAAAATACAAATCTTTGATTTTTATGTTTTTATAAAGTGAATATGAATGTAAACAAATACACTACAAAGTTTAATTATGCAATATTTTTCCTGTACAAATAATAATTCTGTTATTTAGTGTAAGGATATTTCAGTTATGTAAACATTTATGAATCTAAATTTGTCTTTCGACTAATTTGAATGGAATTTACTTAACAATTTATAGACGTAAAGGGATTATCCCAATTCTTAGTAAATTCTACTTAAATTATCAACTTCCTGTTATAATTTATACAGGATTTTCCATTACGTAATTGTTAATGTTAATTTTCTAATTAAACAATATATTTTTTTCATAACATAACCTAGATATGGCTTATTTTGATCTACACTTCAATAAAATACATTTGCTTAGAATTTAAATTTATATTTAAATAAAATTGGTTAACTGATAGTTCAGATCGGACACTAGGTAAAAATAAAAATCGAATGACTTTAAAACATGTTATCTTTGGTACTCATTTCCTGCGTTTCCTAAAATTACGTAGATATACACATTTTTATATATCTGTTCATACGACAGCGCTTTTAAAACGCAACGTTTAGTATTTAGAAAAAGTGCAATACATTTTGAGATAAGCATACATGCAAACTGAACAAGAGAGATTTTAAAGCGTTTATGAGGCAGCGTTGAGTTTTAACGCGGCGTTAAAAAAACGCCTATACGAAACCACTTATAGGCTGCTTGAGGTGCAATAAGACATGTAAATTATTTTTCTTTTTTACTAGAAATTTATTTTATTCATTAACATTAATGAGGGAAGTGAATAAATTAGATTGGGAACAAAGATGACTGTTTCTTTGACGCACATACTATCTATTGTTTTGGTTTTCTAAGTACTTCATGACTAGAAGGTGTTGGTTTTTAACAAATGAATGGCTTAACTAAGAATATAAAAATCCTGGCATAAAATCAGTTTCTAATGTACGCGAAGAAGTAAGTTTTCGTACTAAGGCGAGTTTTTTTTTAATTTCTGTTCAGGCTAAAAGTCTCATTATTTTGTACCTTAAAACTTCTTTTTCATCATAATAAATCTATTTCTTAGTGTTCGTATTTTAAGACAAAAATTTGTATTTTAGTATGTATTAAAATAACATAAAAAACTGAGCCAATCCATAAATTATTTTACCGTTGAAAAGCTACGTTATCACGAAGTAACATAGGCTATGTTTTTTATTATTTGTTAATTTAACGCGGACGAAGTCCCAAGCAACAGCTAGATTAATAAGCATATCATAATATTTGTAAAGAAAGTAAGAGTAGGACAGGAGATGAGAGAAAGATATTCCCTTGCAGCCTTACAAATAAACGCGGTATAAAGTTAAACTTAGGAATAAACTGAGTATAAGCAAATAAGGCTGAGTGTTCATATAATTTTTTTTTTGCATACTTTCGCTAATTGCTCATTAAAATTTTATCGCACAAATGTAACTGACCTAATATTTCCTTTTAATTCTGATTGTGTGTTAGCCATAATTATGCTATCGCATCCTGTGGTTTCATGTATTTTTAAGACAAACCAATTTCAACCTTATAACTATGGGCTGAAGTTTTAAATTTAATCGGTACTATTTATTAGGAAAATATAGAATTATTTTAAATTAAATTAGTATTTAACGTAATGTTGCTTTTGTAAGACGTCTTTTATTGTTAAAAGTGAATACAAAAATGATTTGTGAAAATTAAGTAGAAATGTCGGTTATGTGAACTTTTACTAACGCAACATATTTTACTAAGAAAAATGGATAGTTTGGAAATGTTGTTTTTTGATTTGGGAATTTCTTACAGTGAGTATAACAGACGTTGTTGTTCTAATTTTTTGCTTTTTATTGATTATTGAGAGTCCGAACACATGTAAACAGTGAAAGTAAATTTAGAAATTACTGAACTGTATAAAAACCACCACTATGCCAATGCTATTTTATGCTGTTAGTGATATAAGTTATTGTAAAGCAGTGGACTGTATCTTGGTTTGTAGATAAATAGTACGCTTTTAGTTCGAAGATATATTGGTTAAAATAGTTACAAGTAGCAATTGATTAAGTATATGTCTTGTCTTGTTGTCGGAGCGCAACTGGCCGGCGCGGTGTGAGGGCGCGCGGGGGACGGGCGATGTCTGAAAAGGCCCCTTCGCCCCCCATCCCCGCCGGTGTTGCAGTGATACGCAACAGTTATAGTTAATTATTCTTATAAACTGTTTTATAACAATGTCTTTCTGTGTAAATATCGTTATAAATGTTAAACGATTTATAATTTACTAGTTGTTGCTCACGTCATCGCCCGCGGGAATTAAAAAATATAGCATATGTTACTCACTGATAACGTAGCTTTTTAATGATGAAAGAGTTTTGGATGTCGTCCCAGGAGTTTATGAGTTAATTCAATAAATACAGAATACAAATATTCCTTCTATTATATTAGTAAAGATTGTATTTGTTTAAAAAAATCTCAAAGAAACATGCGTGGCAAATTAATGTCTATAGTCTCTGTCGGTTCCTTTGGGTTACTACATTTTATTGTTATTGTAACATGTTAATATTTCCAGAGCCGTCAGCACTAGAGTCGTTGATGCCGGAGCTGGTGAGCGGCGGCGAGGCGCGCTGGCCGCGCGACCGGCGCGTGATGCGCGCGCTGCTCGAGCTCAGTCGCGCAGAGCCTACGCCCAATGTCTCTGATAGTGAACACCTTGATGATATACAGGAATTACATGATTTGGTAAGTTTTTATGGTATATACTGCAAACTACTTTTGCAGTAGTAGTAGATAAATGATTGCTGGTGACTTCATCCGCGTCAAATTAAAAAAAAAACTTTTATCTTCTTCCCGACTACGTTCTACATATGTGCTAAATTTCATCTGTTCAGCCGTTTAGGCTGCAAACTTTAACAAACATCTATTCAATTATATTGTTTAAATTTCGCTTAAAACATAATCATTCATCCAAACTTTCGCGTTTATAATATTACTAAGATAGCTGTTGCACGCGACTCCGTTCCCGTGGGGTTAAATTATATATTAAAAAAAAACAGTGGTTGAAGAATACTTGGAATCAACCCAGTAGTTTTAGTCACTTCATTACATACAAAGATACAAATCTTTCCTCTTTACGATAGTATAGATAAAGGGTTATATTAATGTTTTGGTGTGTTACAGTTATCCACGGATCAGGCAATGGAGGGCGAGGAGACGCAGGAGGGCAGCGCGGAGGAGCCGGAGGAGGTGGTGGTGGACCCCGCCACCGTGCACGAGCTCGCCACGCGCGGGGACGATGATACTCTCGCTATACTACTCAAGGTCAGTTGACACTCAGATAGTACGCCTGAAATGAGAAAATACGAGTTAACTACCTCGATAATTTATTTATTTATTTATTGTAATTAATTCATACAAACCTCTACACAAAGTGAAAACAAATAGTACACCTTCTGGCGTGCAATAAAATGAGTACATATGCAGGGAAAGAACTAACTACGTTAGGAAAGATTGTATGCATTTTAAACTATCTACAATATAAATGTGAAAGTTTCATTGGATGTATGAATAGATGTTTACTACGTATCATGAAACAGCTCAAAGGATCTTACAGAAATTACGCACAGATGTAGAACAGAATCTGGAAGAATACATAGACAATTCGCTTGGAGTTGCGGGCAACAGCTAGACAGCTAAACCTCTTGAAGACGTGTCTTTAATATCTGGTTGTGGCGTAGTAGTGTAAACTAACTTCTGTTTAATGTTGTGTAATAGTAAACAATATACGTTTCCGTACAGCGGTACCCGCAGCTGGCGCTGGGCGTGGACGCGGCGGGCAGCACTGCGCTGCACGCGGCGGCGCGCGGCGGACGTGCGGCGTGCGCGGCGCTGCTGCTGCGAGCGGGCGCTGACGCCTCCGCCGCTGATGCTGATGGTTGGAGCCCCCTGCGAGCTGCCGCATGGGCGGGACATAGCGAAGTAAGATAATTATTATAATTGCAAAAGTTTCAACAGTTCGACCTAAAATTTGCTAGGCTTTGATAGGCTACTTTTTTTTACTTCTGTGTGGACGGTGTCGCTAGCCATAGCTAGTTAATATATGTTTTAGGGCTAACTTTTAATCAAATGTAATAGTCGCTAATATAATTTTTTAAGTTATATTTATTGGTTACAGGTAGTAGAGGTTTTGCTCGAACATGGCTGTGACGTGGACTGTGTTGATGCTGATAACCGAACTGCACTGAGGTATGTAGTATGGCCTGGTTTAGTACATTCCTCCATATCGGTCTATCTTGGGTTTTTTTATTTCCAGCCCTTAATGCCGACATTTTTAAGATCTCGTTCGACATCATCTTACTATCTCAGTTTCGGCCTCCCGCGTGATCTCTGGTTGACTATCTAATAGGCGCTTGGGCACTCTGCAGTCACTCATCCTTGCTACATGTCTTGCCTAGCGTAGCCGACCAATTTTGATGGTCTTGACGACATTTTTTTTTTTATTTATTTATTTACATACAGAAAAGTAATATATAAAAATTTACAAATAAAAATGTCGCCAAACTGCACAGCAGTTTGTTGGCGACAAACACCCATTTCTTATAAATATACCTTAATGTATCTCCTACTTAATTATTATATATTTACTAGTTACATTAATCTTGTAAGAAATGATTTCTTAATTTATTTTTTACAATGGTTTTGGATTTTTTGACAATGCTTTCATCTCTGAGAAAGTTAATGATATTATATAAATTAGGTATTACATATTTCATTGTCCTTTCCCCGTAATAGTTGTTGGCCCGTGGTGTAACATACTGCCCCTCCCTAACTCTATATTTGGCTCATTATATTGTATAAGTATATTTCACAGGGCTGCAGCGTGGTCTGGTCACGAGGGCGTGGTGGCGCGGCTGGTGGCGGGCGGCGCGCGGCCCGACCTAGCGGACGCGGAGGGCCGCACGCCGCTCATCGCCGCCGCATACATGGGGCATGCGGACATCGTGCGCGCCTTACTGGACGCAGGCGCTGATGTTGATCATTCTGATGCAGATGGTATATTTATCTTACTAATATTATAAATGCGGAAGTTTAGATAGATGGATGCATGTTCGCTAGTTTATAGCCTAAACGGGTGATCGAAACGATGAAATTTGGCATAAATGTAGTAGATAGTCTGCAAGAAAACGTAGGCTATTTACTTTTGTTTTTTGTTTTTAATTCCACTCGGACGGAGTCAGGCTAAAGCTAGTATAAACATAAAACAAAATACCACCTAAGTAAATTAACTTTTATTTACTTTAAAACGGTATTGAAAATGTCATTATTAACAATATCTTGGAGTTTAGAAACTAAAAGATAAAATGTGTTTTATACCTATAATTTATAAGTTAATGTTCAAAGTTAATGAAGAAATTCCAAGCTTATAATATTCTTAATTTATATTAATATTGTGTATAGGGCGCACCGCGCTGGCGGTGGCTGCGCTGTGCGCGGCGGGCGCGCCGTGTGCCGCGCTGCTGATAGAGCGCGGCGCAGACGTGCACAAGGCGGACAGGGACCGCGCCACGCCCCTGCTGGTGGCAGCTTTCGAGGGGCACACGTATGTTCACAAACTATATAAAGTAAACACGGAAAATACGTTACAAGTGAAAGAAATTCCCATTACAATAAGATAAGGGGATCTAAAATTGACTAGAGGGGACGCATAGGTAGGGAAAGTCCTCTTTTTATGTCTCCACTGCACTCCATTGCAACGCACTGCAAATACAAATGTCGATATCTAATTTAACGAACTATAGAAAAATCAATAAACCGAACTCTACTTAACTATTTGTCAAATTTTCTCTACTTCAAAATAAAATAATAACAGTGAGATCTGCGAGCTACTGCTGGAAGCGGAGGCGGATATTGAGGCGAGTGACGCGGCGGGGCGTACCGCGCTGTGGGCGGCCGCGTCCGCCGGGCACGCGCGTACTGTGCGCCTGCTGCTCTTCTGGGGAGCCTGCGTCGACAACATGGACCCTGAGGGCAGGACAGTGCTCAGCACCGCAGCGGCACAAGGTATGCTTTTATATATATCGTGTTTAAACACTATAGTTTCCCCGTTTGATGGTGTTAATAACTAAAAATTCTTCCTAGGGAACGTGGAAGTTGTCCGACAACTCCTCGACCGGGGTCTCGACGAGCACCATAGAGATAACTCTGGCTGGACTCCTTTGCATTATGCAGCTTTTGAAGGTATTCGTCGCTTTTTTAATACTAGGCGATTCAATCAACATATTCTATGGACATATTTTTACTAATATCAAATATGTTTTGCTGTAGGTCATATAGAGGTTTGCGAGGCTTTGCTGGAGGCGGGTGCTAAGGTGGACGAGGCGGACAACGATGGCAAGGGCGCGCTGATGCTGGCCGCGCAAGAGGGACATACCCGCCTTGTCTCACTACTTCTCGACGACTGGGCCGCGCCCGTTGACCAGCACGCCCACGACGGCAAGACCGCACTCAGGTACCGGAGAGAGAGATAGAAACAGAAATATACATAGATACAATAGACGTTAGCCTTACTAAATGATATGTCATTAAAATAAATATCAATAAAGCCTATTGTTACCTTTAATTTTTTCACATACACAAGACTCTAAGTTTACTAATAATGAAAAAAAATCCTTTTGTTCGTGTGTAGGTTGGCAGCACTGGAGGGCCATTTCGAGACTGTGTCAGCGCTGCAGGAGCGTGGTGCGGACGTGGACGCGCTGGACGCGGACCGGCGCAGCACGCTGTATGTACTCGCGCTCGACAACCGGCTCGCGATGGCGCGCCAGCTGCTCACGTGCGGCGCTAGTGTGCACTGCAGCGACAGCGAGGTACGTACACTGCGTACTGTACGCACAGAATATGTGCTCAGCGTACACAAGAGTATACAACAGTGTCTGCATGGATATTATGCCTTTGAAATATCTTGGCTATCTAAGGTTATAGAAACACTCCACTGGTATCCCCTCTCGCATCCTGCTACCTCTAAAATTGTGTTCTGCTCAACGACTCGATGGAAATTTAGAACCGACAATATGTATGAAAACTATATTACACGCAGCAAATAACGTATCAATATTCAATTTTAAAAAAATGTATTTGTATACGCAGGGTCGCACTCCGTTACACGTATCCGCATGGCAAGGGCATACAGAAATGGTCAATTTACTTATAACTGTCGGTAAGTGGTTGTCTTATATTTCTAATTTTATACTTAATCAAAAGTCAATATTTTTTGGATTCAGTAAAAGGAATAAATGAGTTAATGTAAATAATTTGCAGGTGGCGCTCGTGTAGACGGGCGGGATCGTTGCGCGCGCACGGCGCTGCACGCGGCGGCGTGGCGCGGCCGCACTGCGGCGCTGAAGGCGCTGCTGCGACATGGCGCTTCGCCCTCCGCCGTCTGCACTCAGGGCGCTACGCCCCTCGGTATGACACAACTTTCATCATATATGCGAAACATTGGATGGATGGATGTTTGATAATAGATGTCTCCAATGCTTAACAGATCTCGTTGTTATTTGTGATAGTTGTAGAGCATAGATTAAAAAGAGACATAGACAATTTATTAAGCTTTTGTAAATTTATATTGCAGGTATCGCGGCACAAGAAGGACACGAGGAATGTGTACTATGGCTGTTGCAGCACGGCGCTGACCCCATGCAGGCAGATCACTGCGGTAATATATTCACGATAATGAATAATTTTTGTCGGGAGTTGAAGTCCTTTTACAGTCGAATTTAACAGAAATTTCACATTATATTTCCTGTTACTCGTAGAAATATTATGTTTATATCGTGGATACAAACGTCTGTTTACTAAGTAGATAGCTTTGTCATAATTTGTCATTTTTATTTTAATTCCACTATATACACTTTTGTTTTTGTAGGTCGTACTCCAGCCAAAGTAGCATGGCGAGCTGGACATGCGAATATCTGCCGCCTGCTGGAACGTTGGGCAGCACCCTCCGCACCCGTCGCGCCCGCCGTCACCGCCGCACCCCCTGCACCCCCCGTCACTGTTCTAGATGAATCACCGCGACCTAGACCTGGTAGGTAGATAGAATAAGTATGTACAGGTGTAATGAAACTAAGAGTTTAGTCTCGCTTTGATTATATGGAGGTGCGCACACTACTCGATGTTTACTTTTGCAACTAAACAGTTGAATTGATTGCGTAATAATTGACAATCGCACAACAGTTGTGCGATAGTTAAATCAACGGTGTGCGCCCGCTCTAACTCCTGCCTATGTTTTTATGCGTAGTGCTGCATACACAACAAAGCAGTTTATTTTATGATAGCATAAGACATAGTCTTAAAAACCATAAACATCGAAGTTGCTACATTGTATTTTTAGTCTATCAACGTGCATATCCAAGTTAGTGTATAATGTATTTTTTCTGTTTTTTTTTTTTTCTATACAATATTTAGTTTTTTGTATAATAGCAGGTTCACCAGACTACAAGCGGCGTAGTGTACACAGTTCGAACTCTACGAAGTCATCGTCCAATCTGACTGGGGGCTCGGCGCGCTCTCATGAACAACCAGAACAAGATATATTAACACATGATAAGGTACACATAACTTAAATTGTAGGAATTTATATAGTATTCGATAAAAATAATTATTTTTCTTCCTTTAGACGAATCGTGCGAACCTTTCACTGTCATTCGCCCAGCAAGTGGCGCGATGTGGGCGAAGTCGACGAGAGAAAGAGCGAGACGAACCTATACCGGAGCATCATGCGGTAGAGAAAGACGCCAAACTCAGGTTCGTTGATTTATTTATAACCAGCTTTTGGCTACGACTTCCTCTGCGGAGAATTAAAAAATAATGTAATAAACATAGCTTGTTGCAAATAAGCAGTGTATTTTTCTAACAATGAATGATTTTTTAAAATCTGTTTAGTAGTTTCGTATAAAATGCAAACACTCAAATCTTCTCTTTATAATACTAAAACAGTTAGTTATGCGACTCCGTCCGTACGGAATTTAAAAAAAAATGTTAGTGTACTTTCAGAATGTTCTATATCTGTGTCAAATTTCATGGAGATCTGTTGAGGCGGTTTAATAATAAAATACTTACTAATAAAGTTCCATTGATCCGTCTAAACTATTTATGTTCGTTTAGAAATGAAATAATTTGTTATGTACAGGAGTTATATAGCGAACGAGCGTGACGCGGAGCTACAAGGGTACGCGCGCGCGCGACGCGGCCGCGACCGGCGGCGCGAGGAGCGGCACGGCTGCGAGCGCGACACCTCCCCGCTGTATGCCTCCCCACCGCGCAGCCCCCTCAGCGACCTCTGCAGCCCCACCGCGCCCGCGCCCGCCCCCGCCCCCGCACACGCCGCGCCACTAGCCGCATACGGTGAGACAGATGAAAATGCACCGTAATCACATAGCAATTAAGTCTAAAGTACCATAACAATGAAATAAATTAACAAAATTAAACCTTTTAATAAATCTATATAGAATTACGTTAGTGATTTAGTGTTGTAGGCAATTATTGTATTTTAATTTAACTAGATCCTGGTCTATATTATCTCTACGTACAAACGTTCACACAAAATGACTAAATTTCATCATAGCTTACATGTATGAATGTTTGTTACACACCGGAATGGTTTAACGGATCTAACTGAAATTTGTCATAGATCAAAGTCTAGAAGAACGTAAGCTATTAGTTAGTTTTTTTTTTTATTTCCGTGCAGACAAAGTCAGTGTGACAGCTAAGAAAGAAACAACTTATAACTTAAAACTAATAAATGTAACGCTATAGGATCGCAGCCGGCGAGCCTGAGCGGCGTGCAGCCTGTAGTGACGGACACGCACTTCAACCGCGACACGCACATGCGCATCATACTGGGCCGCGACACCAAGCAGCCTTCGGACAGGCATGACAGGTGATATATACATTTGTGGAATAAACCGTAAGAACAAATTCGCACGGCCGTTTTTTTAACGCCGCGTTAAAATTCGTGATTGCCGACTCTAGAGCGTGAACGCTTTAAAATTACTCATGTTTCGTCCAGCGCCTAAAATGTAACGCTGTGTGATAAAAATCGCGTTTTACAAGCACTGTATGAAGAGATACATGGATTTTTTTCCTATTTCATCGTTTTTTTAACGCGCGATATAAAAACGCCAGTGCGACTGCAGAGAAATATTGTAATCCTTCATGAGTTGACACGTCGAACAAAAGTATACTCATGTTCCTGACGTGCCAAATCAAGTCAATATATGTAAATTTGAAATGGTTTTATATACCCCAATACATAGTTAAATGCATTTTAGATATAAAAGCATGTTTAAAACTATATATTCAAAGTCAATGTTGCTTGTCTGTGTAAAGCTTGTTGAGACAGAAATAATTTGTGCTAACGCCATATCAAAAACACATTGTTATTTTGACATCTATCATTTACGTTTATATTCTGTGGTCAGTTTTGACAGCTGTCACGAGCGTAGCACAGATTGTTGTCTGGTGTTAGATGTTGATTGTTTAGTTAAGTAGTATTATATAAATAGCGCGGTGTGGAGTAGGCGTGGCCGCGCCGCGTACAGCACCATAGTGGGCAGTATCGGCAGAGCGCGCGGACGAATATTTAAAAAAACGTGAGTGATTAACTACTCTGTGCAAGTCACTGTGATTTTTGTTGGGTTGACACGTGGTTTATGGTTTTTAATTTTTCTAGACATATTGTCGTCCCTTTCATTCGTTTTAAATTAATAGTGATTTTTGTTTTAATTTCGGTGGTGGAAAAGGACAAATTATTTTTTCAGAAGTTATGCTCTTACGTTGACACAACTAAGTTTGGTTTCAAAAATCTTTTGGGTTCAAAATGATGTGTTCCTAAACTATACAATTTTTTTTTTCGAAGCGATACATGTTTTATTCTGAGCTGCTAAGATATTTGAACAATTCCTAACCATGAATTTTTACTTGATCACATTTTTACACTATGGCGGTGGCGTGTTTTTAAATTTGGATGATTTTTTACATTGCTTAATATTTTTTTAATATATGAATTTTCTATAAAAATCACAGTGACTACACAGTGGCATTTCGCTAGAATCATCTCTCGCTTCAAGACGAACATCATTGCTTGATCAACATCACAGCATCATGTATTTAAGATACAATCAATATCAACAAATTTTAATTTAAAAAAAAACATAGAAACATCTGAAAGTCATTGTCACTCACAGATCGTGAACGCCGCTTGTCGGTATATTAACTAGGTTTATTACCTCGCCAAATTACTTATTGCAAAATTTACAAAATAAAGCGTTATGTTTTTTTAATTTTTTTATGGCAAATTACAAGATGGCTATCATTATCAGCCAGTGACAACTGATTTGCAAATTATTTTGCTTTTAAGTTTGTTTAAGTTCTGCTTACAGCTTTTGTATTGCATGTATTGAGTTGGTTGTTTTTTCTATGATATCTCTAGATTATATTGTGGCATTATTGTACAAAGGGCGGAAGTTCTCTTGTACGCATGTATTATCTTTTCGCATTCTCTTGGTGCAGGAAAGATGGACAAAACTGGCATGAATATCACAATGTATTATTTTCTTTTGATTTTAAATAATATTAGTGTAAGGAAATACAGGGTTTTTAAATATGATTTTTTGTTGCAGTAAAAATAAAAGAAACGGCATCGTGACTAATCCAGCGATGCGGCTTGTGAATAACGTGAGGAATGGACTTGGTAAGCGACTATAAGAAGTTTCTAATGAACGTAAAATCAATTTTCATTACCTGATTGACAAAGAATTTAATGTTTTTTGTCTGTATGTGGGTTCGTATGTTAATTTCATAGTGACTGCCTAGAGCCTAAACAACAGACCTTTGTTGATCAGTAAGGTTTGATTTGTCTTCTCCAAATTTTATTTTGAATTATATTTATTAACACTTATAATGGACGTAAGAAATTGAATTCTAAAAAAAAGGGCAATTTCAAATTTCACTCCCAGACAGGCAATCATTTTCTCTTTTATTATACTGTCTAAGGCAGGTAATGTTTTGGGAGCTGGTTACCCGACTAGTGATTTCGAAGATTGAGATGTCGTTCGTCTAAAGAGTGTCATAGTTTAAGATCATCGGAGTTTTTTTAGTTATTCAATAAACAGTGTTATTTTTTTATTATAATAGACAACGCTGCGGCGAATATCCGTCGCACGGGCGTCGCGCTCGCAGCCAGCGCCAGCTCTGCCAACCCCGCCGTCAAGACTAACGCGTTCCAGTGGCGCAAGGAAACCCCGCTTTAAACTAGATGGCGCTGACGCAACTACAAACACGCTCTCGTTTGATCATGTTCGAAAATATTACAATGTAATATTCTGTAATAACCACAGAGTACTTTGTAACATACTGAAATAGAGACCAATCTTCGGTCTAAAATTGGGTAACACGAAGAAAAGCGCCATCTGTATTTCATAGTTTACAACTTTCTTTCTTTCTTGTTTTGTTTTTTTTTTTTTAATGAAATGGGGCAAACGAGCGTTATTTAAAATAATAATATAGGTTATATAAATATCTAAATATCTATGTTATGAAATATAGATATTTAGATATTTATACACCTATATTATACCTGTTGTAAATGAAAAGATTTATATATCCACCCAAATAGTGCATTATACCAATTAGGAAGTAAAAACAAAGGATACTGTTGGACGGTTACTTTCTGCCGTCCCGAGCTCTGGAGGTGTAGGGCTATTGAAACACTGTCTTCACATAGTTAACAAGTATATTATAAGTATCAACAATCACATTTTATACAATCTCATATTTCATATATCCTATGGTGTTACGCGGTACGTATTGAGATGAGAAATCATACATAAACATCAGTGACATCAGTTGTACAAGTTGTAGTACTTGATGCATACCTTAAAATAATAATCTGTTATTTTAACAAAAAATAATAAGGCTAGTGACTAAAACCGTAATACCATATGGCAATAACATTTAAAATCTGAGACTAATGGCCCAAATAAAATTTTCCCACCTTCTTACTGGTTACATCTTATTTAGTATTATTGCACTCATTAAAAGCATGCTTTAATGTACAAAAAAAGTCTAAGAGAGATTAGTGTAACAATTTACTACTTTTGCTTGACTGCTATAAATATGGTAGAAAAAGAACCAAATACATGTTAAAAACAAAACACTACAAATAAATACTTAAGTAGTCCGGCAATGTACAGAGGCACTAGGCCATAGATGTGGACTATAGCTATAAATTCTCATTATACGAGAGGAGACGTCTTACTGCTGGATAGAGACAGTGTTATATAAAAGTCTGTAATGTTCTGAAGTAAGTAGACATAGAAATAGACATACCTCCTCTTTCTTTACAACCAGGGCTGCACCTACCTAAATACTGTTGAGTATTTTCAATTAAACGTTAATACAGAGTACTTTAACGATAAATAAATGTAATAGACATTTTACTTATTGAACTGACATCGAATTACAAGTGACAATTAAAAAGAAGTAAATCAGAGTTGAAAAAAGGTTTCATTCAACAAATACACTAAAAAAACACTACAAGAAGAGCTACTAAATAGCGGCATCTATCGTATATTAATTGAACTAGTAATTTTTTATTGGTATAACAGCCATCTATTACTGCACGTTCGCATATATAACAAATATAATACTACTAGAAACAAAATTAGTCTGTTTCCTATTATCAAAGTAGATTTAAGGTGCTCCGTTATATTGCAGTATTTTATCTTCGGATTTCCAAGTTAAATGTACTGAGATTGTGCACCCTGGTAATAACTAAAGAAAATTATGCCAAAACGTTGATAATGGCGTATGTTAAAGAAATGCATAGCAAAAAAAAACTTATTTTTCTAACATGGATTGTTGCTATGCGTAATATTAACAGAGTTAACGTGTGCTTAATTTACTGAATTACCATAAAGGAGTTTCCTTTAGTTTTACCAATAAAAATGGTTACGTAAACTCATTCCTAGATTTGAAACGACTAAGCTTAGTGATTGTGGGTAGTTTGAAATTATATCGATGTTTTATTAAAAAAATTGCTGAAAATGCAATAAAAATGTAGCTGTTGTATAACTTGTCAATGTGGCGCTACCAAATGTATTCCTAGAATGTATATAGTTGTAGTTATGTGCTAATTACTTCGCTAATTGACTGCCGAATATTGAAATGTAACTTTTGCTTCTTACGAAGCTTACAATCTGACAGACGGTAAAATTGTAATGTATCGTCTTATCATTTAATAAGCTGGTACAGTCGCGAAAACACCGAGTTCCACTTCAAGAAAAATTGCATAGGCTTGCAACGAGACAAACACAGTCTCTTTCTACAAATAACTAATTAAATTGCAAAGAGTAGTGAAAAAAGGAATAATAGAAAGAAACTATCTGTATCATTTTTCGACATTTTTTTCGTACAGATTTATAAGCGTTGTATTGGTTTTTGTTTTGCGTCTCGTTTAAAAATTATCAAATGATTGAAGCGTTTAAAGTGGAACACTGCCAGTTTTCCTGACTGTACATATAAAAGTGTTGTTTTAATATTCGGCTGTAGAGCTATGGTGACTTTTGATATAATCTGATAATGTCTATGGATATTGTGGTCTATGGTTTTGAGTTACGATTCTCAATCCCTTTAAAAAAATAGATTGTTGAATTATTTTTTGAATGTTAGTGGAACTTCTTAGATATGACTAAATTAAATTGATTTCTGCAAATATTTTATTTGCTCAGAACAAATAGAATAAATGACCGCTTCTGACGTAAAACTTAAAGATCGCAAGTAAAGAACGAAACTGTCAAATGAATGGTTAACGGTACTTTCTGAAGAAGACTGAGGTGAATGAAGATGGAACGAATGAGCGACTTGTAACACGGACTGTTTCATTCATTCCGTAATACGTTCACTAAATTTTATTTTGACAATAATAATTTTATTTAGTAAAACTTTATTGTTTAAAAAATACTCTTTATTTAGCAATCAAATATTCAATTCTTGACACTGGTAACATTTTAGGTACAGACAAAAAGAAAATGGATATATATTTTAGCAGTCGCAATTAAGTATTACTAAATCTACACTAAGGGACTCACTAAGTAACCATTTTACAACTGAGTTTTTAGACTAAAACATGTTAGAGCCAGCTTTGCTTGTTTATATTTATGGTCTATTTGAAACAGTGCATATCTTTCGTAAATATGTGCTGAAATTTCTTTAGTATCAGTATTAATAAATGTACTAAATATAATTCGAAATTGCATTTTAATATTAAAAATAGTACAACTCAATTTTATAAAAGGCCTGATCTCAAAACGAACAAAGTTAACTAAGTTAGTGTTTTTTTTGTTTTATAGGAGAAAATAACAATCTGGGTGCATTTACGCGCGTAATATTTTGCTATTGTATTCATAAAAACTAGTCCTTAAGTATTTGTGTATGTTTTATTCTATAAATAGTGAATCTAAACTTAAAATTGTATTTTAGTGAATTAAAAAAAATGACACCAATACGCTAGTGTGAACGACTGTACCTTTGTTGTAATTTCTCTTAAATGTTTTAGAAATAAGTGAATGTTATTCGATTGTCTCGATTTAATTTTGTCTATGCCAATATGAAATTAAATGAAGACTGTTTATTTTTAATCTGCATCGGTTTATCTGTATTATTTAGGGCCTGTCCCACCAAATAGTATATCTGATAACTATCGAACGTGTAAAATGTGAAGGAAATATCGGATTTTGTTCCCTTATCTGACAGTGACGTTTTAAGCTGAGAATATCAGCCAGTGGTGGGACTCTATATGTATTTTCAAGTTGAATAATAATATTATGTAATTACTTATGTACAAGGCAGTATTTGAAATGTCTCTTGTTCTTTGGGAAGGGAATGGATTTTTGAGAATGCGTCCGCTCTATGAATTAAAGATGTATGTGATGTATGGGCAGCGATCGCTTCGCTATTTTGGCGACTTTTCGAGACTGTTTGGTTGTTTGACACCTCATTCTATCGTACTTGTGCCTGATTGTTATTTGGCGCGTAATTTTTCAAAATGGCGGGAAATTATTGTCAAAATAATTGCCATTGTTTTTTTTTTAAATACCTAGTCTTGATCTTAATGATAAAAAAATTAACAATTAATCTTCCCTGTATCTTGCTTTAATTATTTTTTTTTTATTAAATTTATTAGTTTTTTTTTTCTAAGTATTTTCACAGCGAAGATGTATGTGATATTGCGTGTTGATTATTCTGGCAATACTGTCTTAAAAGATAAACTATATTTTATGAACTCTAGTATTTTCAATAACTAATTGTATCATAGATTATGTAATAATAGAAAACTGGGAAATATTAAATCATAATAAAATCACACCAGTCTTATAGAAATTATTATTAGTGAATATTTTAATAAAGGCGAGTACTGACTAGACCAATTAATTTAAAATCAATTCGATCTGTTGCATACCTTATTTGAAAAACTTTAAAATTTAGTAAGTTTTTACGATTTTCAACTTTGGTCTAGGAAGTTGACAAAATGTGTCATAATTGAGGCTATTGGTTTTAAGTCATCTGAATATATGAAAACGTTTTGTGTGTTATAAAAAGTACAGTTAGCAAGAAAAGCTATGAGCTATTGTAACATGTTTTGATGACTGTACGTTTGATGATTTTGTCTTTTTTAATCGACTTCTTGTTTTTATTCGTAAATCAATTCTTGCTAATTCCAGTCAGTGTTTCTAGTTAATTGTAACGTTATGGGTGCATTTTGTACATAATTTAGTACATTTTAACTGTGAAATTGGAATTTTTAAAAATAAATTTGACTTATCCATAATAAATTTAGTTATTCAGTTCTGAAGAATATCTCTTTATTTAAATAATAAAGTGTATTATTCTTTATTTTATTACTTAGACTGTCATTTCTAAAATATTTCTTAAATATGCTTTTTCTAAGAAAGTTTATTTAAGAAATATTTTCTCTAATTCGTATTAAAATTGTTTAGTTTTTCAGGTTTCTTTGAGTATTTTGGCAATAATTTTTTTTGTTGGTTTTTATACAAAATGCACTTTATAACGGTCCTGCGATAGTTTTTACGTGTACGCTTATTTTGTATAAAAGATATAGCAATATTTATTTATTTATAGACACTGATGTTTTCTCTTGTATTCTCGTGTGAGTTTGATAACGAATGTGATTTAGATGTTATATAACTATTTGTGTAACGATATGTAACGTAGTTGGTGCCGTGCGATAAATATGTTGTGAAGAAAATATATAGAAATATATATAATTTCTCTTATATGTGTTTTTTTTCTGTCACCCTAGCTTTAACCCACTTGGGGTC